CACATTTCAAACTTTGTGCAAAAATTACAAAAAATCTGCATAATTTCAGTTAAATTTTCAGCTTTTTATTCAGATTTTTTAATAATTTATTTTGTGTCTGCATTACGCATTATTAAAAATCAACGCGATTCTTTAACAACTTAAAACTTGCACAATATTACCCTAGATTTTAATGTGCTATTTAACTGTATAGTCAAAAAAATCTGAAGCTGCAGATTTTTTATAATTTTTGCATAAAGTTCGAAATGTGGATTTATATGGCGTTTCTTATACGGTAGACAAACGGGCTCGATTATTTGCATAACCAGCCTTAATTTGATATAAGTCATGCATTGTCCTCTTTAAAATGAGCATAAGCAGCCGAACAAATGCACGAAATTTTTGGGAATTGACTCGGATCCGGGGAATTTTCGACGACAACACTGGTAAAAACAGCCAGTTGTTGTCCTTTGTACAAGTAAGCAAACGAATCAGCCGAGTTTCGCGTACGCGGTAGCCGAGTAGTGAGAGTTGCGAGCTACAAGCCGGCCAGGTTCGATACTCGGTTGGAGCGATTGCGAAAAATTTTCTGTTTTTATTATTTATTTTATAATTTTTATTTATATATTTAATTTTACTTTATTTTATTTTCATTTGCTTTATTTTATATCACATTTCTTATTTTACTATTAGTTAATTTTAATTTTTAGAGATGAATTTAGTTAAAAATTCAACAACAACTAACTGAAAGTAACGTAAAAAAAAATATAGAACGTATAAAAAAAATAATGAAAAAGAAATAAAAAAAGTAACTGGCCGTGGGACTCGAACCCACGACCTTGCGGCTGGTTTATTCGCATTACTGCCGTCTGTAAGGGTAAAATTTTAATTTGCATTTATGCTTATTAATTCAAATTAATTTTCTCCGTCTGTCTACCATATTATATAATGGGCCAGACTTTGATGAAAAAATAATAAACATTAAATTAACAAAAGAAAAATAGCCAAAATTTTCAATGGCTTAATTCGCTGATCACAAGTGTATGTGCACATGATGTACATCAGATTTCCCGAGCCTCAACCCCTACGTCGATGTTATTATAGTAGAGGATATCACACTGGCCAAAGTCCATATTCCTCTATGGAGACTCGAAAAATTAAAATTATTATTGTTTTTTTTTCGTCTAATACCCAAAAACGATACTACTATAGTCGAAAATATCACATATAAATTTTGACCCCGAATATTTTTTACTAATAAAACACGTCAAAATTATGAAAGTACAATAGATTACATCGAATTCTTTGACCTCAAAAATTCTTTTTCATTCTAAAAATATTGGAAAAACCCCCTTTGGCGTAATCACTCCGCCTTTGACATTGTCTCTGAACTTGTTTCCCTCTTGTGCCCCGCTGTAGAACTATCAACATTCAAAGATGGTGCAGTGTTCTGTAGAAGCTACCCATGGCTCTGTGTATTATGCTACTGGCAGCGTTTGAAGTGTTTGAAATGCTATTTATCACTTATGTGCATATGTACGAAGATAAGCGCACATTTTGTTGTTATTCAATTTAAGTGCTATATGCCCAATAGGGATGTTAATTTTTCGGCTTTTTCCGATCCCGGGATTTTCGGGATGGCGTTGTCACAATCCCGAGATCCCGGGTTTAGTCGCGGGATTTAGATATTCATTACTTTTCGACAACTTGAATCAAAAAAATTGCTTCTATATTGTTTGAGAAGCTCTCCTACCATGAAATAAATAATAAATAAATGGGTTTGAAACCTACTTTTTTATTTAAAGTGGCGTTTTTATGTTTTTTTTCTTTGACCGCACGTTTTATTTTGAAGGACTGTAATTTAAGAGATATGATTAATTCCAAAATTTTTTTAAAAAATTCAATGCAATGTCGAATAAAAATATGGGTAACAAATGCAATAGGAGATTTCTTTAAAATTTAAAAAATTTAAGTTTTTGGATTCACAAGGACGAATAGGTAATTTATAAGCTGACAAAGTTAGAGGAACGAAACTCGAGGCTGTTATCGAGTTTATATAAGCCCTTAACATAAAATTTTTTCAAAAATAAATGTTGCAAAATTTCAAGGATAAAATTTTAAAATGACATTTTCAATATTTACCAGCCCTTCTGCACCAGAAACTTGAATCTGTTTAAGTTCTACAGGATTTCCTCTTTAATTTTATACCCATACTTCTTCTCTAAGCACATTTCTATGAATTTTTTAAATAATTTTTGAATTACTGACGTCAGAGTGAAAAACTAAAAAGGCAATTTTACTATATTTGGCCCAGGGTTTCGCGAATATATTGATATTTGTGTTTAAAATTTACTATTGCGCGGTGTTATATTTATAATGAGCTAGACATTTATAAACAAATATTAATTATTAAATAAAAAAAGAAAAGGAGTTTCTATTATTGCCATCAGTGCAAATTACAAATCCCGAATATCCCTGGATTAACATTCCTAATGCTCGCGCTACTGCAACTGTATAGATTAAATGTGCTTATGCAGTATTTGTCTTGTTTGTCCCACACGATTGCAGTATATATATATATATATATATACATATGTATGTACATATTTCCAAATTTATATGTATTCATATGTATTTGTTTTACGTTACACATTAGAACAGAATATGTAAACAAATACGCTCAATACTGATAATAGTTTCACTCAGGGTGTTCAATACATTTTGGTTTCACTTTCATTTCATAAAGAGTTCTTTTTTGTCTGTTAAAATAATGTGTAGAATAATGTAAAACCAGTTTTTAATAAGAAACTGAATGAATTATTACTTTTTTCTTGTTTATAGATACTCCAGGAATAGAAAAGTGTAGTCACTGCATAAACAACGTCATACAGGCTGCTTTAATTCTCATTTATCATCAAGATGTCGACCAAAACTGTATCACAACAACCGCGGCGTGCGCCACTTTCGTTGTCTGGCAGTGGCAAGCAGCATAATCAAAATCAGTACAGTGGCAAATCTGCAGATTCCAATGGCAGTTCAAATAACAGCGCTAGCGCTAAAAATGACAATAAACTTTCTGCGAGCCAGAAAGCGGAGCCAACTAATAATGATGCAAAGGAATCCACTCCCAAGGATGTAAAAAAATTACAGAATACAGAGAAAAAGCAGCCACAACAACAGCCGGCTGTAAATAATGAGACAGCAAAGAAAAATGAAAAAGTTGATGAGAAAAAATCACAAAATGGTGCTGGCAAAGCAGCAACCAATGGCGGCACAAAGGAAAAGCAGCAAAATGGCAGCGGTAAACAAGAAAATGGTAACGGTAATGCTTCCAATGCTAAGTCTACAAATTCACATTCAAACGGAAACGCAACCGCCAAATCTACAAGCACAAGCAAATCAAACGAGAAAACTGCTGCGCCTGCCAAGGAAGAAGCCAAGTCCAAGGAACAAAAACCCGGGCAAAACAATGAAAAAAATGATAGGGAATCTGAGAAAGAAAAGGAGAAAGATAAGAAAAAAGAGCATGGTCCGGAAAAAACAGCGCGAAAAAGAAAAAAACCAGATCCCGGCGTCATGACACTGCGCAGCTGAGACCGATAAAAAACAAGTAGAAAAAACCGAATCTATTAAGAGCGATGATACCAAAACCGATGTGTCCATACCAACATCGCGTTCCAGTGCAGCGCAATCCAAAACCAGCACGACCCCCACCAAAGGTGTAGATAAATCATCTGGAGCCTCCACGCCCACAAAAGCTGTGGAAAGGTCGAGCGCTTCACAGCGCACAAAAACAGTCACGACTGTCATAGACGATGTCGAAATGGAGACTCTCGCTGTAGAGCCCTCACCAGTAAAACCACAAAAGCACCCAGCTCCAACTGCAGCTTCTGTGGTCCCTGTTCCACAGCCACCGGCTGCAACTTCTACTCCAGGCAAGGCGCCACCAGTAACACATAAGGCCAAATTGCAAGCTGCAGCTGCAAAATTAGAAATGCCAACTAAAATACAAAGTACTGGCAGTTCACCGAACCGCAGCAGTGCGCCTCGCGCCTTTACACAGATCGCCGGACGTCGCAGCATACGCCCCCTGACCGAATATACACCTTCGAAATTCGAAGGCAATTTGCAGTTCCGTGAATCATACCGGCGTATTAATACCGAATTGGATGTCAGTTCGACCACCAACACCAGCATGAATGTGACAGTTGGCTCCGAAGTTCCAAATAATTCATCGTTCTCGTTCTTCGGTCGTGGACGTAAACGCGATCGTACACCTCCACCACAGTCACTATCGACCATGCGTTTGCAAACTGATGCAGATTATTCACCACCGAAACGTGCACGTTTGGATATGCAGACCTTCTTTAGTGTGGTCTCTTCCCCATTAACAATGCTACGCTCGCGTTTTTCCAGGGCTTCCATACAAAGCAGTACACCAATGAAGTTGACCTCGAAACTAACAGCAAATGATGAGGCCGAAGTACAAAATGTCTCTGGCATTTCAATTGAGGAAGAAATCAACGAAGGCGCTGAAAGTGAGGAGAAGACTGCCACCGAAGATGTAACAGTGGGCAAAAAAACTGACGATGATGCTACGCCCAAGATGGATTCACCTATGAAAGTCGATGAAAAATGCAGTATGGAGAAGGGCGAAGAACGGAATTCAGAAGGCGATGTTGAAAAGAAATCCTCGGATGTGCATGAAGTTGCAGCCGGCGTTGCAGACACTTCAGTAACTTCTGTTAAAAATAAGAGATGTAATGTCATGTAAAATGAAAGAAGGCAAGCAATCAAGCGTACAGTTTATATTAGTTACCGTATTTTTTCTCTTTAAATGTATCTCATGTTTAACGTACATATATGTTATTCCCTTTCTACCTTAATTTCATGTTCTTAATACATACAATATATACGTATATACATGCATACATACAATATTTACATTCATTATAAAATATAAATGTTTAAGTGAAGAGGTATATTTAGTTATTAAGAGCGTTTCACGATCCAAAAAAAAATTTAGTTAGATTCTGACCTTGAAGCAAATGGATATTATTTCATTCGAAAGCAGTGGCTACACACAGATGTGTAGATAATCAAAACTATTAAACGAGTAAACATTTTATTTTCTCAGTAGTTGTTTTTGTCACCGTGTAAGGCAATTACTAAGATTTCTGCTGGAAAATTGCCTTATGCTGTTCCAACAACAAAAATATAGCATATCCGGTTTGGTCTCTCATATTGTTTTTCCTTGTCAGAAATCCCAAAATGTGAGGCCAGAACTTGAGATGGAAAACATATTGGATTGCAAATTTATCCTAAAGTTAGAATAATCGGCATGTAATAAGAAAATATTACTTTTTTATGTTTTTTATAATGCAATTTTTTCGCACAGAAAAACATAAAAGAACAAATATTTAAAAGAAAGACAAAAACACAAAGTAAATAAGCATTTTATAACTTCTTTTGCTTTGATGACTGCTCATTATATGAATTAGAATAATTTAGTTTTAGTTGTAACTCAATCATATCCCAATTGATTTCTGGATATTCATATAAATTTACAGATACCCTATCTAATGCATACACATGTATACATATGTATGTACGATTTGTAGTACCTTGCGATGTATTTCAAATTTTCATAAGATTCATTTGTGTATTAAAAATATTGTTTGTGAAAACTAAGACCAATATGTTGGTAACCATACACGGAAGCATTATTATTTCAGTATATATATATATATATGTAGTTGTACGCAACTTTATACAATAATTATAGATATATTACAATACATAATACATAATACATAATCATAATTTTGTGCAGATTTTTATCCATATCCAANTATATTACAATACATAATACATAATCATAATTTTGTGCAGATTTTTATCCATATCCAATATTCTTAAAAAATAAAAGATTTTATAAAAAAACCTTTTTAGTTGAAACTCTCTGAAAAGTTCTCTGCATGTCGAGCATTACCAAAAGCTGGTTTTCACTGTCATATTTTGAGGACAAAATTTGTATTCATTAAATTAACCTTTGCCATGTCTCAATATGTAGTCCGAATAGTAAAAAAAAGAATTAATCCTATGACTGACAGGTCACTGATTTAGCAGCGCATGTACAGACTGATGCAAATCAATCTAAATACTGATTTAAAAAAAAAAAATGAGGCACGAAATAAAAGTGACATAATGTCATACTGATGAAAAATTGCAACACTGTTGCAACTGCTCAAGCGCAGCTTTTTCAGCCCAGTACCTTTCAATTCATTGGTATTAATTAAATGAATTAAGTAAACAAATATCTACATACTTTCATTAATAAATCGCAACAAGATTGAGGGTTTTTAAATCTAACGAACTTCTTGATTCGAATTATTGGGCGTATTCAGAAATGCATCAAGCCAAAGCATCGGGCGCATTTATTTCTAAACTATAATTGACGGAAATGTCCAATACGCGCAACCACGGTTAAATGCCTAATTGGAACTTAGTTGCGTAAATAAGGCATTTGCATCAGTTATGATTAGCGAATACAACTAATCATTGGGAAATCAAAAGCCACTTACAAAACTTACAAATTTTTATTGCATAATTTTTGGTAGCATTTCAGAATATTTTAAGTTGAGCATGTTGTTGTTGTTGTTGTAGCGGCTACAACAACCCCGCCCAGATCGGTTGGTATCTCAGTCGTTGTCGTCAAGTTCCACTAACGGCAACCCTAGGAAGCGTGCAGCTTCTGCGGGGTTTGCCCATAAGGACAAGGTCGTTAGGGATGTCGGGTTTGCCGGGCATGCGAAGAGATGTTTCGAGTCATGTGGGGTCTCTCCGCATGCCGGACATTCATTAGGCACATCCTCATTCANAGTTGAATTAAGTTGAGCATCAGCATGGTTATTGTACCATGGAACTTCAACAACATATTCATCAAGAATGCAACAAGGCTGCAATATTGCGGTAATTATTGCGTAGGCCGAACGCATCCTATAATGAAAACTGTGCTGAGATAGGGCGTTTTTGAACCGAATTCGGATATAGGGGCATTCTTCAATCAAATTCTGAGATAGGGCGTTCTTGAAAAGTTTTCTGAGATAGGGTGTTTTCGAACTGGCTGCCGGGATAGGTCGATCTTCCACTCAGGTGTCGAAGAAGTGCTCAATCCCCTGAGGTTTAGTCATGAATCGTCTTCATCCTCTGACTACAAGCCTGAGGCCGAGGAAGCGGGCGACGTCAATAGGCAGAGTCAATGGTGCATCTGGAGTCAGGGTCGTCGGTTTGGAGCAGGGATGAAAAATGGAAATTTCGGATTGTACCTAATATCACACAATAAATGTACCTAAATGAGACAGATTGTACCTAAAATAAGTTACATCATTCATTTGTAGTTTTTTTTTTTATAAATTTTATTTAAAACATGAATACAAAAGATATATGTATATACTTTAGACATGATAAGGTTTCTCAATTGAGCCTATATCTATAGACTATAGTCTAATGGGAATCGGAGAAGCATTGTTTTTGTCTAATTTTGACTACTGAAAAATATTGGCGAAAAAGACAAAAAACACACTTTGCGAACTATACTTCTTTCTCCAGCTTTTTATAAAACAACAGGAAGTCTGCTAATTTATCCGATTCCTTTTAATAGGTGCAGCAAATCTAGAGAATATAATCAATGTGCCNTTGACGTTTCCAAACAATTTAATTTTTAAATTTACTCACAAACTCACACACACATTTTCATTTTCAATCTCAAGCAACAACAATTTCGAACAATTTCAATTTTTTATTTTCACTTTTATATGATTTTAAAATGTTGGCAAACTTCAAAAAAAAAATTGAGAGAACGGTTCTACCTTGCTATGTTTTTATCATGGGTCAAATAGCTGTAGTTCTCATCTAAAAATTTTAAATTTGTAGACATCCTAGATACTGGACTGTATGGATGAATAAAGGCTGGTTTTCACAGTGTAATATTTTGACAATAAAATTTTTTGACTTATTTTGACACAACTTTCTTTCCTTTATCCCTACCTTTATCGATGATATTATGGGCCAAAAACTTACAAATAGCCTCCTTAGCAGCGCATGTACACGCCTGAAGGCCTATTCTGATTTAAATCAAACCAAAGACCATTTTTTAGTCCCATTTGACAATGAAGGCCTATTCTGATCTAAATCAAACCAAGGCCAGTTTCTAGTCCCATTTCACTCATTTGACCGGAAATGCCACTGAAAATTAATAGAAAAAAAAACGAAGCTAAGTAAAGTGTTAATTATTAAGGATTCAATTAGAGAATGGAATGCAAAAATTAGAGCCAATGTTGTATTCACAATAGGTGCGTTCGACAAATCAAAAATTTGTAATAGTTTTCCAAATTTTTACTGGATGGCGTTCGATAACGACAAAAAATTATCCAACACACAAAAATTGAGAGAGCAAGCGTTCATTTTGATGCAAGAGAAGCGTTCATTTTGTACTGGCAAAATTTTAGTCAGCAAAAATTATCCAACACGAAAACATATGATCACAAAACATATGGTTGCAATTTCTGTAAACAAACAAAATTGCATTTTCCGAGTTTGGTATTTATATGCTTTTTGGCTGCCTGCTATGTGACTTTATGATAACACCGACTAGTTTTTACTTCTAAAAATGTTCACTTTCCTTTTTTCTCTATGGAGGCAACATGAATTTCAGTTTGTTTACAAATAAAACATAAACAAAGTCAGCTGGTGTGTCTTCTTCTTCAGGGTTTCGAAAGTAATGGCTAATTTCCTGTTCGTTTACTTTTTTGCTTTTTCATCTCTTTGGGAGATAATTTTCGCTTACTCTCTTGATTTTGATTGTTGGCTGGTGTTGGCTAATTTTGTTATCGAACGCAACTAATCAACAGAAAATTAAGGATGGTAAAATAATCCACATCGTAATATGAGCAAAATTGTAAAATATGCTGTTGAATAATATTTTTACTATGGTGAGACAGTTTTGCCAATCTGCTGTGTGAAATGAAATCTTTTTTGACAGCAGTAAATTTTTGATAACCGCAGATTTAGTCGGTTAGTTTATATTACAAATTGAAGTGAAATTAATATTTTAAGAAAACATCTACCATCACTGATAGCATTTCATCAATTTAAACTTTTGTTTTACGAAAAATTACACACAGAAACAATCTTTGCGATTGTCAAAATTTTCTATCCATTTGTCAAAAATTTCACTAGCCTCATGAGCTACTGAAATTTTATTCACCTCATAGTTGTCAAAAATTTACTTGCCGCAAACTTTGTTACCGATTCACACACGCCCTAAATTAAAAAAAAAAAATGGTACGTAGATCTTCCACAAAAGTGGTATAGTCCGCACACTGCCTAGGCCGCTGACCGCCGCTTTGTAGGGTGCTATGGATGCTAACGATGCATCGATATTTTTGATACATCGATAATATCGGTTCAAAATACAATGTTTGCCATCGATGTTTACAAATTTCCTAAAACCGCTAAATTGACGATACATCGACAGAGAACGTTTATAAATCATCGTTTGTTGGCCAATGGTTAGTTTATTAGTTATAATAAAATTAAAATATTAAATGACTTTAACCCTGCAAAAATCGTGGGACCATGTAGTCTTTTTGTGGTAAATTGGAGTACTTACAAAAGTGTTCCTCTGTCATGCTGTAGCGGACCAACTCGTGTCTCTGCGCCAGCTTATTGTTTGTTATCCGATCACTGCTCGTGTTTTAACGAAATGTGATTGAAGTTGAGCATTTGAAAGCACATTTGCATGTCTGGCTGTAGCTGAACGTGTAGAGATGCTCGCTGTTAGTTCTTAGCTCCCAGCAAGTTCGGGTTCGAGTGCCGTCAGAGGCAACATGGAATTTTTAATTTTTGTCTTGGTTTTTATCAATTGCGAAAAAGCATTTGAGAAGTGAAGAACAATAGCGTGTACAAACGAAAAAATATAACAACAATGCCATTGTTAATATGTTGGAGTAGTTTTGTGCTACTCTGATGTAATGCAGGGATGGAGTATATGGTCCTGCCCTAGGACATCGCAATGTTAATTGGACCATATTTTTTATATGAATTGTGGTTAATTTTGGAGTACTCCTTGATCCTTAGGGAGTACTCTTTACACGCATGCATGGAGTAGTCGCGATTTTGGCAGGGATGTAGATATGCATGAACCAAAAATACAAGATCACGTAAGAACGCGACGTTGTATTTGTAACTGGTTTTGAGAAAAAGTTTGCGAAAGCGGGTTCGTCAGCTGAGCGTTTGTTTACATCACAAGCACCACTATTTTACACTTTTATTCAAGTAAAGAAGAGTTAATTCAACATGACAACACATTTTAAAGCATTTTGTTGCATCATTTTACCTAAATTGTGCGTTTAAAGTGGCTGACAATAATTTTGGCTAATTTTGGTTTTCGTTGTTTTCTTTGCTTTGTTTACTTTTCGCTCGTTTTCCAGTGAAACAAGATGGCGTAGAACCCGCTAAAAAAATCGACTTTTTTCATTCTCTTGTTCTTACGTGCTCATGTGTCTTTCGTTCATGGTAGATATTAGATATGCAACCCTGTGTTTGTACCAAAGAACCAAGACTGATTGGTAGGTTGTTTAATCAATCCCACCAAATCCTACCAAAAACCAATCAGCTGCTTAGCACAAAATGTAAACAAACAAGCAAATGCAACAACAATTTCAAGGAANGCGCGATTTTGGCAGGGATGTAGATATGAGATATGCAACCCTGTGTTTGTACCAAAGAACCAAGACTGATTGGTAGGTTGTTTAATCAATCCCACCAAATCCTACCAAAAACCAATCAGCTGCTTAGCACAAAATGTAAACAAACAAGCAAATGCAACAACAATTTCAAGGAACAAGCAGCAGTGCTGCCAATCGTTTGGCATATTTAAACAAAGGCTTTGTTTCTTTTCTTTACTAGCAGATAATTATCAAGAAGAAGAAGAACGAGGAAATTGAGAGTATTACGCTCACAGAGAGCGAATTAAAGAAATAGTAAAGAAACGCAAAACTAGCAAGTAAACAGCTGATCGATGTATTCGACTATTGAAAATAGTTGGCTGGAATTTATGTTTATCCATTTTCAAATTTAATTTAATTTTTTAAATTAGCAGGAGAGCCAAAGAAAGAAGAGCGAAATTACGCTGAGGCAACGCTGAGCGTAAAGGAATCCGATTTTGAAAGAACATAAAGAAATTAAGTGGGCTGCAGACCTCAACAAAATCGTATTTCATAACTTCAACACGTAACGCCATGAAGATTTCATTTTCTGGGCGCTAGCGCCGCGTTGTTGTGGGATGCTCCATTCAAATTGTACGGGCATGAGGATTCTTAACAGTTTGGCGCTCTTCGCGCTAATTTAGGCACGGAAGTTACATACAAACCTATGCCATTGTTGCGCTGCCGCTTTTGTTTAAGCAAACAACGTACGTTCTTTGGTTTAAGTATGAAACGTCTGCGTTAACGCTAGGTGGCAGAAAGCGCTACGATCAACGATTTTATTTTGGTACGGCAGTGAAAAAGATGGTATATATTTTACTATTAGGTACGTTCGTTTAAAATCTCTTATTTTACTGTTTTTAACTTCCAAAACAAGATAAGTTTCTTATGTGGCAAAATTCCTACCAGCTGCTTTTCTTGCTGGAAGAAATGAAATGTCAGTTTGCTCTTTCAATTTTTCCTACTTTGCAAGTCTTTTGCTTATACGGTGTTCGCATGAGGCGATTTTGCAGGCATTTTTAGAGGAGATTAGTTGAATGTAAAGCTGGCTGCCCCCGAACTTCATTACTTAAGGTTTACACCGGACAATATTGTCAAGACAAAGAGCGTTAATCTATAAGAAGAGACGTTATAATTGTTACGAGTGGGAACACCAGGAGCGTGTTTCTCTTTTGCCCAAATACGTTTTGTGAGTGGATGAAAAAACAAGGCACGCTCCTCATGTTCACACCCGCTACAATTATAACGTGTTGTCTGCTCTTATAGGTTTACGTTCTTTGGTCAAGACAATTATGTCGAAATGATGTGTTTGTTGTAAACACGGCGAATTCATATTACAACAAACACATCATTTTGACATAATTGTCTTGACAATATTGTCCGGTGTAAACCCGGAGTTTAGTTGAAAAGTCGTTAAATAGATAAAAAAAGACAATACCCCTAACTCCACCTTTAAACAACTGTTTCTACAAAAAACAACCGACCTCAAAAAGAACGGATGTACTATCATTTACACAGATGGCTCCAAAACAAATTACTCAACAGCGTTTAGCGTTACGACCGAATCTGGTTCTTATCTAAGCATAAAGCAAATGATCCCTCTTTCCTCAATATTCTCTGCAGAAGCAAGTGCCATTCTAGAAGCGTTGGCGCTATGTACTCATAAAAAGCAAAAAGTGGTCATATGCTCTGATAGCCTGTCAGTCATACGAGCGGTGAGAAATCCCATCTGTAACAACTGGGAAACCATCAACAACATTAGGGATATACTAATAAAAAACGTCAACAACGTTAAGCTACTGTGGGTTCCTGGACACGCAGGTATCAAAGGTAACTCCCACGCCGATGAAGCTGCGAAATTCGCATGTATGGCTCCCATCGTCACCGCTTCAAACATAGAAAAAACTGACATAAAACACCACATCTACCAACACCTAAAAGCAAAGTCAAAAACGGAATACCAAAACTACCAACACCCTCACTACTCAGCCATCAACAAAGATCTAGTTCCTCCGGAATACCCCAAAAACGTAAACGGTTTTAAAACCAGGATATTTTCTCGACTCCGTCTTGGGCACACAACACAAACACATGCATATCTCCTAAAAAGAGAAAACCAAACAATCTGCGAAAACTGTAACTCACTCCAAACATTGCAACACATCCTCAACGATTGCCCTCTATACGAAGAAGCAAAGCAAGCAATACTCGACTCACATTCGGAAATACTCTCCATTCCTACCTCCACAAACATTGAAAAAATCGCTAGATTCGTTAAAACTATTGATTTAACCATATAACCACTAAAACTACGTGACACATACACAAATATAAACACAACTCATTTNCAAACATTGAAAAAATCGCTAGATTCGTTAAAACTATTGATTTAACCATATAACCACTAAAACTACGTGACACATACACAAATATAAACACAATTCATTTCTGCAACGTAGAGCTGATGGCCTCGGCAGCCAATGCTCATATAATTCTATTAGTTCTGATATTCATATCAGTACTGAATAATAATAATAATAATACATGAACCAAAAAGACAAGATCACGACAGCAGAAGAGTGGCCCGTTATAATCGCACTTATGAAAAAAGTAGGGCGATTTTGACATAAGCCGTTTGTTTACATTTGTTCGTTGTTTACAATTTGGTGGTGGCTTTTTACTGCAATTTTCTTAATTTTCGCTTGTGACAACGTGTGCACACATAAGGTAAAGAATAATTTAACACAACGACATGATTTATAGGAGAATTTGCATAATAAAAATGATTATTCATGCGTTCAACAATTACGCGTTTTTTTTTTGTTCTCTTCGTTGTTTACTTCTTACAACAAAGATGGCGTCGAGATTTCAACAGCTAGAAAATAACTTTTTTCTTTCTTTCCGTAAGGCGTGATCTTGTGTCTTTCGTTCATGATAATAATAATAATAGTTGAAGAGCCGTTCACACCAGCGATTGTTGCTTCAACGGTGCACAAAAAAGAGCTACCTGGCAACCGTGATCAGTACACCAGTATACTGCAACTTGGCCGCACTGTCATGGCAGTTATGTCAAATTAGTTTTTATGATTTTCAAAGTTCGGTGGAATTTTAAACAAAAATTTTTTATTCTGTTCACGATGCGAGGGTTATGCTTACTTAAATGTGTTAAATAAATTCCCTAATTGATCTATTGACCAATCGTTCTAAAAAGAGCCAATTTATATAGAGCATATTTCAAAGGTTTTGGAAAGTATTACATATACATATGCGCGGCAAAAATTCGTCTAGAACATTATACGAGTGTATCATGGAAAAAGAGGAAACTACAACTGTTCAATACCACCAGGGCGATTACAAGACACCGAAGAAGTCCGCTATGATAATCGATGGGGAGCGCTTATTAGATAAAATTAATATACTAACAACAAAACCGGAGAACCAATCTTGTACCAAGGTATTAAAACGTTTCATTTGCATGTCTCGCAGCTTGATTTTAATGCTGCATCAAAGTAATTATTATGAAATAGCTATGCATACGTTTTCATTTAAGACACAATTTTAGAGCATTCGTAAAGAGCAGTTATTTTATGCGAGGTTTAAGCTGTTCGTTCTGCATTGTGCTTTTTCTTGCTGCCAAATTACCACCGATTGCAGTGCACCTTGTTATAATCGCCGCCACATGCATATTACAAATGAGCATCTACGTATGCACATGTTTATATTTTTATTGAAGTTTTCTTGTTGTCTTCCCCACAGCTTCCAACAATCAAAGATTTTGTGATTATTAAGCCAATTAGCCGTGGTGCATTTGGCAAAGTATTTCTGGGTTACAAAAACAATGATCCCAATAAATTATACGCTATCAAAGTTATGCGAAAGTCCGAGATGATAAATAAAAATATGGTATCTCAAGTTATTACCGAACGCAATGCGTTAGCGTTGTCTCGTAGTCCTTTTTGCGTCAGCTTATTCTATTCATTACAATCCGTCTCCTACGTCTATTTAGTGATGGATTATATGGTAGGTGGTGATCTAAAGTCGTTGCTTACCATGTTCGGATACCTTGACGAAGCAGTGGCGCGTTTTTATGTGGCAGAAGTTGCGCTGGCGTTGCAATATTTGCACGAGCACGGTATTGTGCATCGCGATATAAAGCCGGATAATATGTTGTTGTCGGCCACTGGCCATGTAAAATTGACGGATTTTGGTTTAAGCAAAATCGACAATAGAAGAGGTAAAATGTAATATATCATTTATGTTAATTTATGAATAATTTCCTTTATTCCACAATCCTCAGATTTGGAAATATCGGATTTAATAAATATTTCGCCTACCTTAAATGCACGTACTCCGGGTCAATTGCTTTCTTTGACCTCGCATTTATCATTTGGTTCAGAGAAGAAAATAGAATGTGGCACTGGAACTTCAAATTTAATGAATGCCATGAATAAACGAAGTATTTAAATTCAAACCGTATGTAATTTATATCATTAATAAAACTATTTTGATTAGATGTGATAACTGAATCATCAGATAGTGAGGCGGATACGTCTTTAAATGAAGCCGAGCGAACGAGCGATAGCAAAATATCTGGAGTCTCTCCTTTTTTTTCAGTAGAAGAGATTAATGTTTCGATTACGCACACGTGCACAACTAATGTAATATTGCCCTTAACCATAAAATTTTTGCCGTTATTCTGACTTTTTTTCCATTTTGGATATCGAAGACCCAACTGACCGATAGTACATCTTCCTACCACACATGTACATCAACAGAAATAAGTAAAAATGAAGTTAGCACTACTTCAAACGCAGTTACGAACACTCGGCATGTTGCCTTCGTTGATATTAGCATCGAAATTAAAGCCGCCGCAGCTGAAGCTAGAGCGAATTGCAATGTAAGTATTGTATTATAAACTTAATACAAAAACTTTGTTATTGAAAATTTCTATAAACTTTTTACCACAAAAGGGCTGCAAGCAAGAAGAATATACTAGATTAAAAGATTGTATTAAAGAGAATAAAATTTGTATTAAAATGGAGCGGAATGAACCAGAAGAGGCTTCATTTGAGTTTAGTATGGTTCGAAAACGTTCGATGGATGAGGTGTGTAAGCGTATTTTTTTATTGGTAGTATGTGTGGTGTTTTAAGCTATGGATAAATGGGGTTGGGTTCATGATGAAGAGGATCGTTTTCAAATTGCAACGAATTTATAAAATTTTTCCATGTTATGTGCCTTGTCAAAATGTGTGAAAATGTTGAAAAGATAATATCGGGAATTTTATGTTAACACAATCTCTTACTTATCTTCACGGTGCACCTTCTTTTAACTGTTGCATGTCATTTCCTATAATTACTGTCCCAACGTTTCTTTTAATATTTCTAGTTTTGATTACTTTTGGTAAATGCTGCCTGATTCCTTTCCCCTATATGTGGTTTGAAAAAATGTAATCATTTACTGCTTAACTTTATAGCGTTTGCGTATGTCAAAAGGCCCAGAAGACTCGGGCGTGTCGAGCCGAAAAAGCGACAATTCTACTTCGCAAATCAATACAACAACAAGTTCGCTAGACAAGGCTGAGAATATATGCATTTCTAAAAACGATACAAGCTGCTCGGATTATTCGCGCAGGTATGACATTCTACGGGTTTCAGGATAACAATATCACATGGTAAAATGCTTCCGATGTTACTTTTTAGCTACACCCCGAACATAACAAGCGAGACCAGCAGCATGCGTTCACCATTTCGTAACCTATCGAAAAACTTCAAAAGACCTGAATTCTTGCGGTTTTTATCAAGAAAATTTTAAAATTTTCCGCATTTTAATTTTTTTTTTTTTTTACTAATCTTTAGGGGTATGAAACGCAAACTCAATCTGCTTAATCGGTCGGAGAACTCATCCAATCCGGAAGCTGACAGTTCGAAATCGGGTTATAACTCCAACTCCGGCAGCACCGGGCTAACACAAGAAATCGATATTCTTGACATTGGCAGTAGCACACCGAAAAAGCGTAAAGCGGCTAACGGCGTATTAAAAGTGCGTTCACTTTCAGACGATGAAATGCCACAGGCTCTCAATGAGCATGTCACAAACGTTGTCTTCTCCACACCTGTGTCATCTCAAAAAGTGCCACGCCGTGATGGTGGCTTGTTGGGAAAACTGAAAGCAACACGATTTGCGCTGCCATCATCGATGGATACGAAAAAATCGGAGCAGGCAGCTGAAAAAACATCTGGCGTGCAATATTTGAAAATGGCAGCTGATGATCCTACCATGTCACCTATTAATTTGGGCAATAATATACCGAAAACTCCGATACGTATGAATACACCTTTTCGCACACCAAAATCGGTGCGACGTGGCGGTGTTGGTCGGCAATCGAGTGAACGTATACTCGGCACACCCGATTATTTAGCACCAGAATTATTGCTGCGACAAGGGCATGGACCAGCTGTAGATTGGTGGGCCCTGGGCGTCTGTTTTTATGAATTTTTGACCGGCGTACCGCCCTTCAATGACGAAACGCCACAAAGAGTTTTCGACAACATTCTAAATAAAAGTATAAAAATAAATGGTAATGGTATATTTTTTGCATTTACATTATTTAAATTTTTTTAGATATTGAATGGCCACAAGGTGATGAAGCACTTTCAGCCGAAGCTGTCGAAGCAGTGGACTTGTTGCTTACAATTGATCCCACTGAGCGTCCTGCAGCAAAAGATGTTCAGCGAATGCGTTTCTTTGAATCAATCAACTGGAAGAACATCGAAAACGAAGAGCCGCCATTTGTGCCGACGCCGGAAAATCCTACCGACACAGCATACTTTGAGGCGCGTAACAATTTGCAACATCTAAAGTTATCCAATTTTACGCTAGAAGACTAAAAGATACAATTAAAGAACATCAAAGACTGTAGATTTTCATCTGGGTTAGAGTTAAGATGAAACTATGTTACGCGCATTAACCAAATTGTTTGTGCTAGCTACACTTTCGAAGTAAACTAGATGTATCGTTTTAAATGAATTTGAGTAGTAAATTTAGTATATACAGACCATTTGCAAGTAATTAACGCAGTGGAAAATAGTGATTATCTATGCACCACACACATATGCGTATCTCAATTAAACTAACAACATATCATATTGTTCTATTATATTTTTTAAACACTACAATATTCTCGTTTATGTGCTTATTCACTTATCGGTTTGTCCTATTGTTCTGTATATTCTTTGTGCATTTTTTAACCAGTCTGTTTTACACTACATACATATCTATGTCCCCATGTAAAAAAAGTCAACAAAATCAAATAAATTGATAATTAATTGATCATAAGAGAAAGGTTAATTTTTTATACTTGAAAAAGACAAGGATTAAAATTTTGAAACTAATTAAAAAAATTAAAGTAAAATATTTCCAAAGTCAACAATAAAATACTTTTGTCGCAAAATCTATAAAGGATCCTCAAATATGTGTATGTTACAAAAACCAAACTTTACAGAAGAGCGTTTTTTGTATTATTCTTTGCTTTGGCTAGCACCATCAAGACCAAAGTTTAGTTTTGCTGAGACGATTGAGAAATATAGCTAAACGCAAGATGTTTTTTGTAGAAAGGCCTCTACATTATAATTTCCTAGCACATACATATATCATAGTATCATATATGACAATTTCGCTCACAAGAAAAAATACATTGTCACATACGATAAAATTTACAGTCAATTCTTGGGGTAGTTGTTGGGATTTAAACCGTAATATTTGAACAGGTGATGCGTTATGCCAGAGGGTTAGGCGAACTCCTGTAAGAACAACAATGGCGACCTTGTGACCAATGTCCAGAATGTACTTAAATTATGTAGGGAACACTTTTCTACCCAACTGAATGGTAACAGCGCTGAAATTTGTGGATAAAACGAACCCGAGCCCCCAGTCGATGACCCCAGACGATGAAAAACAACAAGGCTGCTGAAGCTGACAGCCTGCCAGCTGAACTAATAAAGTACGGTGGCGAGAAGTTCATAAGGTGCATGCATCAACTCTTATGCAGCCGAATATGGTCAGATGAACGCATGCCCGACGACTAGAATTTAAGTGTGCTCTGTCCAAAACACAAGAAAGTCGTACCCGCCATTCGCGTCAACTACCGCGGGATCAGTCTTCTAAGCATAGGTTATAAGGTCTTATCGAGCGTATTGTGTGAAAGACTGAAACCCACCGTCAACGAACTGATTGGACCTTATCAGTGTGGCTTTAGGCCTGGCAAATCCGCCATAGATCAGGTATTCACAATACGCCAGAACTTGGAAAGGACCTGCGAGAATAGGATGGGCACACACCATCTATTTGTCGATTTCAAAGCCGCTTTCGACAGCATAAAGAGAAGACTTTATGCCGCGATGTCTGAATTCGGTATCCCCGCGAAACTAATACGGCTGTGTAAAATGACGTTCAGTAATACCACCAGCTCCGTCAGAAAAGGGAAGGACCTCTCCAATAAAAAACGAGGCTTCAGACAAGGTGACTCCCTCTCGTGTGATTTCTTTAAGCTGATCTTGGAGAAGATAATAAGAACCGCAGAACTGAACCGCTCAGGCACAATACTTTACAAGAGCGTACAATTGCTGGCGTATGCCGACGAAATCGGTATTCTCGGTAAAAACAAGGGCTACGTCTGTTCTGCCTTTTCGGGATTGGATAGAGAAGCAAAGCGAATGGGTCTGGTGGTGAACGAGGACAAAACGAANACAAACAGTCAGAGCATACGCGTCTTGGCACCCACGTCACTGTTGACAGTTAAAAGTTTGAAAAAGTAGACGACTTCGTTTAATTGGGAGCCAGCATTGACACCGATAATAATGTCAGCATTGAAATCCAACGGAGAATCACTCTTGCCACCAAGAGCTACTTTGGACTAAGTAGGCAATTGAGAAGTAAAGTCCTCTGTCTTCGTACAAAGATCAAACTCTATAAGTCACTCATCATGCCTGTGCTGGTCTATGGCGCGGTCGCATGGACAATGAAAACATCTGATGAATCGGCTCTTGGAGTTTTCTAGAGAAAGATTCTGTGAAATATTTACGGACCTTTACGCGTTGGCGATGGTGAATACCGTAGACGATTTAACGATGAGCTGTATGAGCTTTACAACGATATGACATAGTGCAGCATAGTCGTAGTGCATAGTCGTTCGAATGGGCAGAAACGCTGCTGCTCTGAAAGTATTCAACGCGTGCCGCGATGCTGGTAACGGAGGAAGAGGAAGGCCTCCACTGTGTTGGAAAGACCAGGTGGAGAAGGACTTGGCTTCACTTGGCATTTCCAATTGGCGTCAGTTAGCACAGAAGAGAAATGAGTGGCGTGCTGTTTTGGACTCGGCCAAAATCGCTTAGGCGGTTACAGCGCCAATAAAGAAGAAGAAGATGCGTTATGCGTTGTAAAGCAAACTTGCATCAAAAAGTGAATTTCGTAAAAAATGTAACATACGATAATTTTGCGCAAAGGGGACGATATGTATTAACTTTTTGGTAATTTGTAACAATAAATCGCACAACATATAATAAATAAAATGTGCGTTTTTATGTTTGTACTGTTTTTTTTCAATCGAAAATATAAATGCCATATACATATGTAATACTTCTATATTGGCAGTAAGCTAACTTCTCAATGTGTAATCATTCCGAAATCAAAGCTTGACAGTCTCCCAGTAGCGAAAATGATCACCGGTGACATCGTCACTAATGAGGATTTAGTGACATCGTCGCATTTGCTGTGAATCCTAAACGACATATAGCTGACAATGACACTGGTGACAATGTCATGCAGGTGTACTCCTAGCAAATACTTATAACAGACAACGTCTTGCAGCGGTCACTTATAAAAAGTCCATTGCAAGATATGTCGTTTGAATTTCATTAATGACCAAGTCATGCAGATGACATCAANCATTTAAGACGAAACTTTCCGTACAAGACTCCTAAGTGACTAATGCATGACATTCGCTACGCGTATATGTTCCTTTTATTTTGGACGTGCTTATTTTATATATCTGTACTGTAGTGTTTTTGGACGGTACTAGCTCTTACTGCCAATATAGGAGTATTACATATATGGGAGACATATGTACTCCTTTCTCCGTGTTAGAATCTAGGAACCCTACTTCCGACACAGAAATGTTTTCGTACAAAATTATGCAAAAAAGCTGTCAATTTCTTAATCGCTCGTTTTAGGCATGCCAATCTTACGAATTTAGAAAGTTCGACGATTCGGATCGCAGCATACCATTTCTACGATTCGTAGCAAAATCCGAATACGAAAGTATTGCAGAATAGGGGTGTTATAGTTTTTCTTTCATTGAGGTTGTTCACACTTGCTTCGTTATCAGGTTATCTGGTTAAAAATTATTAAATATTTAGGGGATTCACAAGACGTGTTAACCGTCGTAAAATCTTACGCTCAACATTTTTTTATGTAAAACAATGATTAAACTGGATTTAGAATATTTCTAACATACCGAAATGTTTTTAAACTGTTAAAATATATATAATTAGCCCCTCCTAAAACCATTTNACAACCTCATTATGTTTTCTTGCAGTACATGTAATCTATTTGGCTTACCTTGTTGCACAAAATTTTATTATGCCTATACATATATGTACGTAAGTATGTATGCATGTCAGAACCTAAATTGAATAAGGTCACACAAAATTTCAATTGTCCTTTGATTTCTGGTTTTCTTTCCTCACAATCGAACTGAATTTGAGCAACATACATTTGGAAAATAAAACAATTGTTTTTCGATTATGTACTCCTTTAGTTTCTTATTGGCACAATTTCAACAAATTTTGATCAGCATGAATTTTATGAGATTTAAAATTTAAATCTTTGCTGACTTTTATCGTGTTAGAAATTGCTTTTGGCTTTTGATTCGATTGACTTTCGCAAAGGTGATCCACAAATACATCCATGTCCCACTGGCATAATGTGAAATGCTTTACCTTTTTTGTAACAAATTTATTGACGATTGCTATTGGAGGAAAATCTAACCGAATCATAGAAATGGTGAAATTATTGTCGTGAGAATAAATTTAAGCATGTCCTTTTCCATGTCAACAGGTAATGTGGCCGAATGGACACTGTTCCGTTACATAAACAAATGTGCTAAAAAATATTTGATATCAATAGGATAACGAGTAGCGCCTCTAAAATTAAAATAAAAAAAATTTGGCATTTAAACTTTTACTAAGTGTTTGGCCAAGCTTCTCTAAATGAGAGGCCAACAATTTTACGATGCCTCCGAACGACAAATTCAGACATCGCTGTCGATTCTTTTCTCGCTGGTCTTCCAAGATTTGACGTAAGGTGAATACCTGCTTCATGGTGGATTTACCAGGTCTAAAACCACACTGATAATGCCCAATCTGTTCGTTGACGGTGGGCTTCAGCCTTTTACACAATACGTTCGATAAGACCATGTCACCTATGCTTAGGAGGCTGATCGCGCGGTAGTTGGCGCGAATGGCGGGATCGCCTTCCTTGTGGATTTGGCAGAGCACACTTAAATTCAATCGTCAGGTATGCGTGCATCTGACCATATTATGGGTAAGAGTTGATGTATGCACCTTATCAGCTCTGCTCCATCTACCGGATAGTCTACGATATTTAGATTCGCGCTAAACCTCAGTTTTTGCATAAAGTTTTTTAAATAGAGCTACAGGACAGCCTATCGCCCTGGCTGCTAACAAATCTCTTAAATCTAACGTAACAGCGTCTAAAGTAGCCATAGAATGCAGGAAGACCTGTTGGCGTCAAAATGCTCCTTGACTGTTGTATGGGTCCCTGGGCACAGAGACATTCCTGGCAACTGTTTAGCCGACGAGCTGGCAAGAAGCTACTGCATGGTGGGCACATACAGAAAAAGGTTAGCATACTCAACCAACATTTTTTGTCGCAGTTGGTTTTTTAGTAAAAAAAAAAAATGTTGAATTTGTTGAATGTTGAAATGTTGAATAATTTGTATGGAATACGTAGCTCCGTCACAAGAAAAAATTGCCAAAAATCAACGGTGCCATGTCAAACTGGCACTTTGTTACACTAAAATTTAATGGGCTATAAAATTGTATCAAACATTTTTGTGTAAATGTTCTGATTAAAAAGTTAGAAAGTTCGATACAAGTTCGTTGAAATCTATCGAATTTCCCTAATTTTTGTATTAAGTTTTAAATTCGGACTTACATGGTTTTTGTTAGACAACGAGCTATAGTTTCAGAAAAAAATAAAAAATCTGCTTACGTAATATTCAAATATTTGTAAACATAAGGAGCTGTGCCGTGGATTATATTCGCCAGGGGACAAGGCACGCACAAGGGCTGCCCACACCGCAATGCAGCGAACCAATTACATTTTATTGTAACAATAACTAGCAAAAAAAAAAAAGCATACAAACAGTACACCAACACTATCTACTAATATCAGACGCTTACACAAGCAGCCATTGTGGCACTAGTCCAGTTGGCCAATTGTCCAAATAAATGCTATTCTAATGTCTTTTTTGCCAAGTACTGTATTCCACATAAAATGCCCGTTGAGTACACTTGTGTGCGACAAGTGGTTTGCAGGAAACTGGGGGTTTGTTTCATTTGTTCTAAACTAGGTATTGTCGTCCACGGTATGCGGCCTTCTAACTGTTTTCATCCGTTTATCGTTGGGATCTTTGTGCATTCTCTCATTCGTATTTTTCTTGGCACTCGAAATTGGTCTCCGATGCAAAATTTGGATATTTTCTTTTTGGTAATTTGCAAGGTCGTTCACCTAATGCATAGGCATACAAACATAATAGGGGTATTCTCGAAGTCTTGCACGATGCACGGATTGCACGAAATGTAAAAATACTATTCCACGTTTCGAAGAGTACGAGAGCACCCCATTACAAAGTGATAGCATGCATAGGTAGCAAGCAGCGAAATTATGCATCCAATGCAATAACAAGAGACAGCAAAAAAAACGAAGTGAACGAGATGAGAGGAATGAGAGAAATATGTAGCAATTCCAACAACAAACCAACTAGCACAGGGTCGCATTTATCTTGCTATGCTATTTTGCAAAATATATACATGAGTTTCGACGTGGCATATTTTGCAGCGATAGGAAATGTTGTTTCCCATGTATTTTGTTGTTGTGTGTTTGCAAGTTATGCAATTCGTGCCATCCGTGCTACGTGCAATGGCTTTGCAAGATTTGGAGAATAACCCTAATATGTATGTATGTATGTATTTATATGCAGTTAGTATGTAATCATATGTGCATATGTATTTGCACGAATCCTTAATTTTTATTTCCACTGCATTCAAGCGCCACAGTTGGCTTAGTAAACAATTAAATCAAAGGGAATTTAAATACATGCAACACATATGGCATCTACATAAGTGTGCCTGAGTGGCAACTGGGCATTATCGTTTCTCCAACATAAGCAGCTATTAAATTTTTGCAACAGAAATCATTGGTTACGCGACATTGGCTTGGGTTAATATTTTTCGATTCGAAGTGGCAAAGGCTACTCATATGATATCAGGTGGTTGAAAGTTTCCAAATTCAAAACATCCAGCCTGAGAAGGAGTTCATATGAAGCACTTACTTTTTTTCTTAATTGCAAAGTCAGCGAAACGAGGGGCGTTTCTAAATAAAAGCTTTTACGTAGAGCTTTTTCCGATAAGATTCTCTCTTTTGAAGCTCTATCAGAAGATCTTCAAATAGCACTGTCATTCGAAGGTAGACAAAGAATAAGATCGCATTTAACGTGTCGTGAACTCATTTTAATAATATGAGAAAAAGGGTCTACGACCCCATTAAGCTGGCATTTATGGGTACTGTTTTTTATATAAACTTTAACTTAGGGGGGCGGCTCGGGCACTCCCTGCCCCTACCTGGCTACGTCTATGACTATTGCGCAATATCGAGAGAAGAGGCGGCCGAAAATACATACATACGTCTTCAAAAGCAGGAAGCAGATTTGGTAATAGATGTACAGAGTAAAATTGAGATATGGAGAATATACTTCTTAATGCTTTTGAAGGGTGTCACCAGTGTAACTCTCGGTATTTTTGGAATCTGAAAAAAAATCCTCGATCCCGGGATCGTCTTGAAATTTAGGCAGTTTTGATTTCCTATTTGTTTGCCAACAACTGTAGCCGATCTTTAATCATCCTATTATATCTATATACATAGTAGCGCCGGCATCACTTTATCATGCCCGGTTTCACTTTATCATGCCCGGTTTGCCCAATCAGTTTTAAATTAAGCAGCTTGTTCAAATTTAAAATGACAAATTTTCCGAACAAAATTGTGTAATTTTAAATTTTAACAGGCTGCTAAATTTAAAATTTATTGGTGCAACCGGGCATCAGACTCTTAAAGTTTAAAATTCCCTTTTTTATTAATAATGTTTATGTAAATATATCTGATCTGCCGATTAAGATGACTTTTGGAAAACGCATAGCTCCATAGGATGGCCCGTACAAAACTCTATAGAAATAATAGTTTTCGAATTATTTAAGGAGCTTGTTTTGGAATGCTCAGCGCGCCTGGGGCATTTGAAGTTAATCGCCCCATGAAAAATATTCCAAATGTTAGTCTCAGTTATAAGTCAGGTGGGAACCCTTTTAACAAGTATTGTCAAACTTAAATCTTCTTAAAGCTCGTTCGTGTGCCATTGGGATACATTTGAATTTCAATTAAATGATCAATTAAGTGGAATTTTATTTCTCAAATAAGTGGGAACCTCTCATAAATATAGCCTTTCTAAATCCATTTCGATTAATACAAAACTCTTAAAAATCTATTCAAATAACTTATTAAGTTATTTGAATTTAACTTTTTAAACCGGTGGCAATCTTTTTTAAATTCCACGTAAATATTCGGAATGTTTAAATTAAAGATTTCTCGCCACTCTTTTGTTTGAAATCCATATATTAATATATCATCCAGCTTGTGAATAATTTAATTAAGTTAGATTTTTCAAACACGTGGCAACCCTCTTCAAAGTAATATCAAACTATAAGCACTCTTTCGTTTGACACCCATATCTTAATATATTATTTAACTTGTGTATAATTTAATTAAATTCGAAATTCCAAACAGCTGGCAACTCTCTTCAAAATATTTTTAATCTTAAACCTTTTTAAATCTCTTTCGTCTGAAATCCGAATTGGAACATATATCTAAATTTACCAACTACCTTAATTTAAATTGAATTTGATTTTTTAAACAATTGGCAACCCTCTTACATGTAGTTAGGAAATACAGCCTTTCAAAAACATTTCCATTGATGCTCGCAATAATTAATTTAACGTATCAAATACTTTGAACTTAATTTTTTAACAGGTGGCAACTCTTTTATTAAAAAATTAAACCTTTCTGCACATCTACAGGCCCAGCCATTTAATTTGACACCTCATTTTTGGACAATCGAACGACCGGTGCGGATCTGACATTAACAAATGCATTCGTTCGTTATATGAGTACTTTCCAATATAATAATGAACAGTTATCTTAATCTTAATCTCAATCTCAATCTTAATCCCAATATTAATCTTAATCGTGACCAACCACCCCTGCCATGCCTCACCCTTCTTCTGCCGCTTTTCCGTTTGGAATTAGAGCCCAACGAGTGTGCCCGTTTTTCGTTATAACGATGTTTGTATTTAGTCCCAGTCGAACGCAGAAGTTTCACCTTAAACACTTAAATAGAGTAGGCGTTCTTAGGGGTATGTGTTGCTAATGATGAAAATCCATTACAAACTCATGCTTGCACGCCCATAGGACATTAGTAATTATACTTTGTAGCTCAATGTTTCTGCACAAGCACATAAATCTCTACCATATGAGTAGCATATACATATGTACATACATACACATATTTACTGCATTTGATGTCACTTGAACTTTATCCGTATTTATTCGCTGGCACTCTCCATATATATTTCGCTGATAGAGGTCTTAACGCTGCAGTTCTTTTTCGACGGAGCAAAGCGACAAACCGTTTGGGCCTTGAAAGGCAGTGAACCGTGAAAGTAAAATAGCGTCGCTGCAGTGGCAATTCCCATCGTGATAATCAAACAATTGCAGCATCCTCATAGATAAACATATACAAATGTATATATATACATACGCAGCTTCCTGGTCGTAAATCATCAGCATTAGGGGCTCGAAAGGCAGTTGAAATGTTGTAAAGCAGGGCTGTCGCATACACGCACTATAAACCACACATATGTACATACATACATAAATACAATTCAGCAAAGGGAAAAATACAAAATGAAGTCATCGCCGGGCGCCGTTTGGTGGATCAAAAATCCAAATCAAACATTGAAATGGGCTGAAAAAAAGCGAAAGCAATCAGTTGGTGCCACATTCAGTCATGATATGGTGAATCTATTTCGCAACATATCGATGCATGGTTATGGCAAGTTGGTGGATAGTGCTTTAAATATATGGGAGAAGTGAGTACACACACACACACACACACACACACACACACACAACACTGCACTGCACAACGTCGCAGGATGGCAAATTAATATTACAGTGAAGTAGGAATTAGCATCTGTGGATCTGATTGATGCAATGTTGCTCATACGCAACGTCCAACGGTGACAAAATCCCATTGATCCCCATTGTCTTACTTTGCAGACGTACATGATTTTCTTTGTGCGCATATTATCCATGAATGTAATCGTTTCATAAATACATATATGTAGTTGATAATAGTCTGCAAATTGGTGCAGAATGCGACAAGTAAAAGCAGTTGTTTTTGAGCATTTATTAACTAATGGATGTACATTGACTAACTACAGTTAGCCAGAGTGGTTGGTTAACTTCAACCTATTAGTTAACTAATGACTGTGAAAATGGCCCTAAAGGTACGACCGCACTAAGCGATGCAACACTGTAGCGGCACTAGGCGACACGGCCCGACACTTTGCGGCATACCGCACTGCAACTGCAGCGGCGCGACACCACGCTGCTAAATTTTTAATTTATTTGTGTCAAAACCTTCAAACAAGATGGATGTCAGTGACGCTGTTGTAATGTTCATGGCGTATGAGTAACATTTTCCTTGTTAAAGTTTGAAATTTTCTTCTCCAAACTTAAAATGATAAAATCTTGGAAAAATGTCCTGGTCTAGAAAAACTGTATACAGGGGGCCAATTCCTGTTCTGTGAAAACGTGTAGTGAAAACATTTTTCATCACTTCACATAAAATGACCATTCATAAAGTTCTGTGGCTGAGAAAAAGAAAAGTTGGCCGTTTTTCTTAAAACCATCATCTTAAACATGCAATAATTTAATAATTTAAGAAACAATTACTTGCTAGATATTAATGGAAAAGCCTTAGTTGATCGATAATCGCTTAAAATGATATAATGAAATGTTAAAGTGAACAAATTAAATTTTCACTGATGTTCTATTTTTCTTGTGTCATTTTAGCGACCCTAAGCGTAATTAAAAAAAAATATTATAAAATAGCAAGGTCTCATATGCTATTTAGTTTTTTTCCAAATTGTCCTACGCATTCTCATCTGAACGAGCAAATACTGCTATATTGAGTAATTTTTTTTTTTTTGTATTTTACATAAAATTCTGTTGAAGATTTATATGAAACTAGTTTGAACTCACCCGCTTCGCTGAGTGTGTGATATTTCTGCGTGTTAAAATAAATAAGTGTAATTTATTATAATTATTAAACTCAACAATTTTATAATGAGCTCGAGGCCATTTTTAAATGAAAAATTTATTGTGGAAAAGCATCAACAATTTGAAAAAAATAATTATTAAACTTAACATATGTATTTAAACTCGGCAAACTCATAGCGTACGCTGATGACAAAGAAATCGTGACAACGGGAAGACGTCTGCAGGTCCTGAATGAGTTATTGCAAAACGCACTCAGCCTGGTAAACATCTGGTCCGAGGAATGTGGACTTACTGTCAATCCTACCAATACAGAAATGATACTTTCCAAAGAAGTATAAAAATCCTCTATTTAAAGCTCCCACCCTAAACGGGGTGGCACTTACTTTCACAACCGGGGTTAAATACCTTGGAGTTATTCTAGATAAGAAACTTGACTGGAAGCGAAACATTGAAGGCTGCTCCAGGAACTAGAAAAAATGGGGAATAAAATAATAGTCTGCGCTAAGCAATACTTTATCCAAAGCCAAGGTGGAACGAGTGCAGAGGACGGTTGCCATACTCGTCACGGGAGCATTGCCCACTACACCCACCCAGTCCCTGGAAATAATGTTAAATCTCCCAGCTGTGGATCTCTACGACAAATTTCTGGCAAATGCTTAGCCGACGAGCTTGCATGGAGGGCGACGGGAATATCTGAATATCTGAAGTACATTCTGCATAAAATTTGGGCTTAACTCATCGAAGAGGTTAATACCAGGTAGGCTTTGAAACCCCCCTGCCATACTACCAAGCAAATTTGGCCTAGGATTAATGCAAGTCGATCCATAGCTCTCACTAGACTGGGCCGCTCTTCTTTTTTTCTCTCAGATTAGTAGTGTAGGGGTAATCACCGGACGCTGCCTTATCGGCATACACGGAAAAAGATTAGGATACCCAATCAACGATTTTTGTCGCAGTTGTAGATACGAGAAGGAGGTGGAGAGCATCGAACATTATCTTTGTCATTGATTTTTATATTTTTTGAGTTATTATTTAGAAAGTATTGCATTTATGAGTAAAATAATTATTTTTCGTTGTATTTCTGAAAATTTTTGCTCAATACCTGTAGTCCAGCGTCGAAATCGGTGAATATGGTAGTTGGGGTAGGATTTCGTAGCAGAATTGATGCATTTTTTCTATGTTGACCGCACACGTGTGCCCCCGTGCATTGTCTTGATGGAACAGCACTTTTTGCTTGCAATGCAAAGTATGCATAACATAGCCTTAAGCCATGTTTGAAATTAATTGCAACGATGCATTATTTAGTAGCTAAATTCTTCAAACAATTACTTGATACTGGTGAGGGCAAAATTAGTTTGTCAGAAAATACGGAAGAAAATACTTTATTTGAAAATGTGTATGCATGTATGTAACTGTGGCAGGAACAATGCCTGCTGAGCAGGTTTTCTAGTTTTAAGTAAAAATGAAATGCGGTCTAAAATGAAAAAATAAAATGGTTTTGCAGATAACTAAATATTCTTTAACACAAACTTACAACATACATGTATATATAGGAGAACAAATACCGGAACCTAGTTAGATTCAAATATGCTCAAATTCTTCTCTTGCATTGCAGATTAGTTTGGTTAACTGTGCATGTGACAACGATGTGCGCTCTGTTAACGGTCTTGTCATTGATTTGGGAGCAATTTGTGGCTCAGTACATTGTCATCAACCTCTACAATCCATTGTATCCTATCGAGATGGTGCCATTTCCATCCATCTCCATCTGTTCGAACAATAGAATATCATATCAGGCGGCAATGGCACACGCAAAGGAGCTGTGAGTTTGACATTTCACTTATTTTTGCTATTACATACACATGTATGTACGTACTTAATTGCACACACAGGAATGGGTTGCTGTCCATAGAGACTTACGCAGCTTTGATAACCATGATTAATATTTCCACACCTAAATACATACATGCATACATACATACGTATGTATACTACACACACACAAATGTGCACTTATGTATGCATCGGTTGCGCTTTTGACACTTCGATTTGGTGTCAAGGTGCTGGCATAGCAATATACATACATATGTAGCAGTAATTTCTTACTCTAGTGCATTTACTTAATAGCTATTTTGTATACATATATTATATAGGAGCGCAAAGGATCCTAGTCAGCGAAGCGTCGATTATTTTTTGGAACGTTTGAAGTTTTTCATCAATTTATATCAGAAAAACGATCAAGAAGTTTATGGTGAGGTGTATTCCAATTTTCAAGCCTTTTTGGATGTCTTCGACACTTATGACAATGAGACCTTCTACAATACAAGAAGAGTTGCAGAAATGGTAATACCCTAATATGTTCTGATCTAAAAATCATATGCAACCGTATATGTACATATGTAAATGTTTTAATTTGTTAAGAAAAAGATGGAAGAGGAAGTTACCTTAACTGGCGTAGCTGTTCTCGAACGGTCTTTAGTGAAATTAGTAGTTCTCTTCCCCCTACTTTATAGTATATATTTTATAGTATATAAATACAGTTGCAGAATATCGACTAGGGATTTTACTCTCCAACGAGGTCTAATGGGTGAACGGCTCGGCTTCTATCAAAATTTCTTAAATCAGTATGCAGCTCTCAAGAAAAAAATGGTCGTATATTTCAATAATTCAAGAAAATTTACAGCACCTGCAAAGTACTTTTTCTAGGGACAGAAATAACGAAAAATATTTCTTGTGATTTTTTTCAGAACCCAAAATTTTCTTTTAACAGGGAAAAATAACATATTCGTATATGGCATATTAGTAGCATTCTTTGCTGTTCATATTTCATACATAAAAGTTATTAAGCATTTTCACTTGATCATTCACAACCTGTCTATTTATCCTGCATCCAGAGAAGAATGGGATGCAGGACTGCCAGTAGAAGGGGTGGGTATATCCATCTACATTGAGGGTTTAAAGCTAGGAAAAGGAACCGCATCCGGCGGCTACTCGAACGACCTGCACATAAACCGGTTCTTTCGTCTTCAGAGCGGAGATCTACGCCATAGAGAAGAGGGTGGCTTGTCTTTTACTTATTAGTTGAGTTCCAGTCGATAGTCAAGAAGCAGTCAAAGCAATAGGACCTAAAATAGTAAAATCGGGAATTGTATGGAAATGTCGCACCACTCTGGCGCCAATGAGCGTATCAATGTCACTTGGACTTAGAAATATTGAAGGGAATGAGATGGCCGATGAGATGGCCAGATGCGGTTCAGAAAAACCAATAGAAGAAGTGGATAGCTCCGTACTACCGCCGTTTAGTGATCACGTTTGGAAAATTGGTGAATACTCCGCGAGCGCGACTAATGACTTGTGAAGCAAAGGGGACGACTGTGAGATCACAAGATTATTGTGGCTGCGATTCAGTAGGAAAAATACAAGGGACATACTGAAACCCACTAGATCTACAGAAAGAATCCTTACCGGCGTCATCACGTGAAACTGTGTTATAGCAACAATTCTTCAACGGCGGCGAATAACAACAAGTACTATCCGTGGTCATGATGAGGATGACGGAAGAGTCAAATGGCCACTTTCTGTGTCGATGTCTAGACCTACAGACGAAGTGCCTCATGCAGTTGGATTCACGCTTATTAAACAGACTGGGAGAGATAGCGAAGGTGAGAATGTTAACATTCGCTTAAGGAGGGAACTTACAATGGACAATTCTGTCTCCGAGTGAAAGTATGGAATATTCCACGCACGCCCTCCAAACCTAACCTAACCATACCTTGTTTGTTTTACTGATATGCTTATTTATAGTTTTTAATCAATTGAGTATAAAATCTCATAGCTCCGGTAATAATATGGACCGTATTGGTATCTGCGAAGCCACGTAGGGGTGGACAGCAACCTAACCTAACTTGGTTCCTGTTTTTAAGGCGGATTCACCGTTTTAGATCAGAACTTTTCTTCCATGTGGTTGTTGTTGTGTTGCTCTCTCTGGTAGAACAAGAAAGAAAAAGTTTAGAACTAGAACGATGCATCCGCCTTTAATAAATCCAATGTAATTTCCCAAAAGCTCTCGCCGCCTTGTGAAAACCTCATACGCACTTGTAAGCTGGCAGGCATTGAAATCGACTGCTTCGGCGAGAAAGCGTTTCAGAAAAGATCAACTTCATATGGATTCTGTTGCACTTTTAATACGGGAAATTTGTAAGTAGTTAGTAAAAAGTTCGCTTTCTCATTTATTTCGTTAATACATACAATATTTTCAGCTACCAAGAACGTCATTTTCGCGATCGTTTCGTTAGTTCAGATTTGGGCTTGACAGTTGTTTTGAATACCAGCCATAAAGATGACTTTATGGCAATATTACCAATCGATGGTTATCTTGTAATTATACATGATTCTAATATATTCCCGGATACAACATCTGGTGAATCCCACGAATTATTTCTAACGTATGGCGAAGAGTCCTTTATTGCATTGAGAGCCCTTCTGGTATTTACGGATCCAAATCTTCGTTCGATCAGTGCACAAACCGTAGGTAAAACAAAAGAAAAAACCTATGTAGGTTTTTTTACATTTGTGATTTTATTTCTTTTAATTTTCTTGCAGCGTAAATGCTATTTCGATGAGATACGTCAGACACGGCTGTTCCTATCACTAATTATAGTTTTTCGAATTGCATCACAAGCTGCCGAACATTCAACACAATGGCACTGTGCGGTTGTGTACCATTTTATGTGGAGGCGGACTTGTGGCCACAAAGTGATGGTGTCATTTATTGTACAGCTTCAGCATGTGTCCTGTTTGTTGAGCTACAAATGTAAGTTTGAAATATGTAGATTAGTGTGACCGTTATTTTTTTTTTTCGTATTTCCATTCGGGAAACCCCTTAGATTGATTCCAAATTACAAAAAAAAAATGTATAAAAAATTTTAGGTCGTTTGCATAATTATTGGGCGTGCCTTGAGCCCACAAAGTTTGCTAAAAATGCTATTTTTCTCACTATGGCTCGCTTTATTTGTTCATAACTTCAGTAATTTTTATTTTAGAGAAAAACCTTATTCACAAATATTCTAGGGCTATATCTGATGAACAATGTTGCTCTGTATTAATTTTCTTCAACATTAAAATTTAATCCAGAAAAAAACAAATTAAAAAATAACAGCGAAATTTTCACATATCTTCGCATTCTTTGCATACGAACTTATTTTCTTAGTATTTATTGCTTTTGTTCATCTGCGTTGTGTTTTTTTTGTTATTTCTCAATCATCATTATTAAAAAAAGTCAAAAACAAAATAGAATAATAATTCGCCGGCTTGTTAATTCGAGTAAATACCAGAGCTCGCAAAATACGCTCAACCAAATTGTTCTATGGTATCTTGTCACTCACAAGACCGAAAAAAACACAACACAGTCGCTCAGTGTCAGACCAAAACACTTATTTTCTTCTTGCTGGTGTTCTCGCTCTCTGGTTGTGTGTTGAACAAAACAGACAAATCGGTCTCTCACTGAGCTAAATACTCAAATTGTTGTGGATTTCTTACCAATTATTTGCAACAGTTAATGACGACTACATTTCATTTATTGTCGTGCATTGAAAGTAATTAGACATGTCATCAAGAATTTTGCGTGAAAAAATTTATTTGTTAGGCTATTTTTGTCCTTCCTTAGGTGGGTGTAAACTACCTTCTAACAAAGAAGTTATGAAGGTACTATTTTTTCAATTTACGCGCAGTAAAATTAATTTTACGTGAGAGTGCTAAATTAGTGGTCGAAGAAGTGAATATTTTTTGGGATAAAGCTCGAATCCCCACTAGAAAGAGGCAACACTGCATAACAATGCTTGAAGATTTATATAATACATGGAGGAAAGTGAATAAAAATTCTAAAATTAAATCGGAAACGCAAAGAGAAAGAGAAGAGGCGTGGACGTCGAAGTTAGATGACTTATTTGATATAGCAAGTGCAAATGCACTGGACCTTATTAAAAATTCAGAGTACAAATTATTTTTGGAGAATCAAAGAAAAAAAGGCAGACCGGGGTTTATATATGGCATCGATTACAAAACAGCAGCAAGTGAAGAAAGAATGGAAGAGCGTGCATTAGCTGCTTCTAGTAAGAAGAAATTATATATATTATTTTTAATATAGTATTACATATATTTATTTGTACTGTCTTTATTCAGATGAAACAGCTGAACTTTCTTCCTGCAGTTCGGAGAGCGATATTAGCGAAATCGCTGCTAGCTATGAGGTAAGTTCAAGGTTATAAATTATAAGTAAAACGTGAAAAAGAAACTATATAAAACGTAGATGCGAAATAATTGAAACACACAGGGTAACCTAACAAATATATAACCAGAACATTTAATTTCTTTTTAGCAGGTCTTGGAAGCAGAAGCTGTAACGCCAACACCAGCCAAAAAAATGAGAGGATTTAAAAATATAATGACTCCAAAACTTGCAGCCGCTTTAGATGTTTCCAGGGTCAGTGATCGAAAAGCCGTGCATTTAATTATATCTGTGGTGGAAGCAGTCGGTCTTGAAGTACAAGACTATATTATAAATAAAACGTCTATACATAATGCAAGGGAAAAAATACGAGCAGAACAGTTCAAAAATATAAAAGAACGTTTCAACAAGAACGAACTTGGTGCAATTTGTTTGCACTGGGACGGAAAGCTGTTACCAACTCTTACTGGAAATGAAAAAGTTGACAGACTTCCAGTCATAATTTCATGCGGGCGTACGGAGCAACTACTTGAAGTGCCCGCACTTAAAAGTGGAACTGGCAGAGAGCAGGCGTCTGCTGTTTGTAAATCTATATTTGAATGGGGACTTCAAGATCATATAAAAGCCTTGGTGTTCGATACAACAGCCGTAAATACAGGCCGCTTTAATGGAACCTGTACGACTATTGAACACAGTCTTCAAAAGCAGCTTCTTTGGCTACCTTGCCGTCACCACATTTTGGAAGTCGTATTGAAAAGTGCCTTTGAAGTTAAGATGAGCAAAACCGAAAGCCCAAATGTAAAAATATTTGAGCAATTTAAAAATACATGGGGAAATATAAACCAAAATAATTATCAGTCTGGAATGGAAGATAATGATGTCAAAAAATATTAACAGCAGATAAAGATAAAATAGTTGAATTTGTGAACGATGCGATCAAAACTAAACAGCCAAGAGATGATTACAGGGAGTTTCTTGAGCTAACACTTATCTTTCTTGGCGAGACTCCACCTATTCGCAATGCAGCTTTTCGCGCCCCTGGGGCTGTCCACCACGCGAGATGGATGGCAAAAGCTATATACTGCTTAAAAATATTTTTATTTCGACGTGAATTTGATTTGGCAGTAAAAGATAGGAAAGCTTTACGTAATATATGTATTTTTATTGTTTCAATATATGTTGAGATGTGGTTCTCTGCCTCTTCTGCTGCTCAAGCACCATACAAAGATTTCCAGCTTTTGAAAAGACTGGATTCTTTTCAAAAAATTGATGCTGATATATCTCAAGCTGCATTACACAAATTTAAAAGGCACTTATGGTACTTGAGTCCTGAATGTGTGGCTTTAGCATTTTTTGATAAAAGTGTATCTATTGAGTCAAAAAAAGAGATGGTTAAGGCATTGAGTCGTGAGGCTTTAGATGAAGACGTAAAACGCGCCTCAATTCAAAATTTAAATGTTATGCAGGTTATCGAAGGCGGAATGGCTCAGTTCATTTCTTCTGAGACAAACAATTTTTTTCTTGGCTTTAATATCAATACAGCATTTTTGGAAAATGATCCAACTTCATGGCCTGCGGATAATAATTTTAAAACTGCTCTTCAAATTGTTAATGGCATTAACGTGGTGAACGATACAGCTGAACGAGCGGTGAAATTAATGCAAGACTACAACCCAATTCTCACAAAAGACGAGGAACAAAAACAATATATATTGCAAGTAGTCAAAAACTATCAAAAACAATATCCTATAAGCACGAAGGAGATTTTATCACAAAACTTTTTATAATTACACCATTTAATAAAACAAATAATCACCAGGCAAAAAATGCGAATATATGTGAAAATTTCGCTGTTATTTTTTAATTTGTTTTTTTCTGGATTAAATTTTAATGTTAAAGAAAACTAATACAGAGCAACATTGTTCATCAGATATAGCCCTAGAATATTTGTGAATAAGATTTTTCTCTTAAATAAAAATGACTGAAGTTATGAACATAGTGAGAAAAATAGCATTTTTAGCAAACTTTGTGGGCTCAAGGCACGCCCAATAACTATGCAAACGACCTAAAATTTTTTATACATTTTTTTTTTTGTTATTTGGAATCAATCTAAGGGGTTTCCCGAATGAAAATATGAAAAAAAATGTCCATATAACTTGCGGTCACACTAATGTAGATATGTACATATGTACATGGAAGTACAGGATCCAAGCTGCATGACTGTTCATTATTTATGCTGAAAAATCTCATATAATCCGCCCAGCGTTCGTTTGATTTAAAAACCGAGGTGTTTATTTTTTTGGAAAGGAGTTGCCAACTTTTAAAAAATTAAATTCAAATTATTTAATTAGCCTTATCTTGAGTTTCATTTTCTCCGAACCGGTTCATATTTCCCTTTTTGTTTCCGTGTATTTACTATGGGCGGATGAAAAATGTTCGTGTAAATTTTTTCGGGCGAAACTCAAGGCTGAATCAGTTAAATCAATTATTACGATATGGGTATCAATCGAAATGTTTTTGAAAATGCCTTATTCCTTGATACCATGCTAAAAAAATAATTAGTTTAAATTAGGGCAGCTCGGTAATTGAGATACTAATGTATGTATCACGTTTCGGTTTGAAAATATTTGAAAGAGGGTTTTCACCTGTTCAGAATTTAATTAAATGATGCAAAAGGTACATGAAATATTAAAATATGAATGCCAAACGAAAACACGGTTGCCACCAGATTAAAAAGTTAAATTAAACTTATTAAATAAAAGATGTGTATCAATCGAAATGGGTTCGGAAAGACATTAGTTCACCTGTGTCACCTGTGTGAAAGGTCAAATTTAGTTAACTTATATACAAAATATGTACATATATGAAAGCTTAAGTTTGAAAATACTTTTGATTAGGGTTGCCATATTTTCGAAAAGTTACATCTATCTTTGTATAAATATATATATATATAATCCGCGAAGGCGTTTTTGCGTAGGTTTTCAGATCTGCATCGTTCTGTAAAATTAAATAGCTTGGCCTGTAAATGTATAATAATGTTAAATTTTTTGAAGCTAGAACTTTTTATCGGAACAGGGTGAATTAGAGAAACCGATCCATGTGAGACGGCTGAACGGTTTTAGATGCAATTTGGCACACGCATAAGCGATAGCCACGACTAAAATTTAAAATAATTTTTGGGTTTTCGAAGTGGGTTGCCGGCTGTTTAAAAAGTTAAATTAAATTTTGGAGTTTGAACGCCATGTGGGCTCTCTAGTAATAGATGTAGTTTCATTTCAGTCTCGCGTGGGATCCACACAAAACTTTTTTTCGTCCTTTTCTTGAATAATTTTATAATAACGATAATACATTTATCTGTCATCGAGATAGTTTTGAAATACTCTTATAGAATTGCATTTGATTGCCTGTCAAAATAACAAAACCTTACAAAACTTAAGGCGCACTACAAATATGTGTATTGCGTTCGCATAAAAGCGAATGTTTAAGACTTTTGTGAGGAGTTGTGCCTAGACTTATTCACATCTTTATTTAATTTATACTTAAGTTCTGAATAGAAACATTTAAATATTGAATAAATTACTTACTGATACCAATTTTGATTATTTTTTAATTACACATGCATCTTGTCAGTTAAAATGGATAATATTATGACTCAACGCGAGTCCATTGATGGTCTAGAACGGGATTACGCAGAGGCTTTGTACTGTCCCCATTGCCTACCAGCCTGTAATGATATACAATACGAAATGTCACTGATGGCATTACCAATAGATCGTTTCATAGCAAGCCGCACGGAAGAGTAAGTACAAAAAAAGTCTACATAAAATATTTAGGGTGATTCATGTAATCCATTTAAACAAGTTTATGCCTTCCTACAATGCTGCTTAATTCAACGAATGCTATCGTAAAAGTTTTCGCGAAAACATTTGGCTTTGACCACTGTGCCCCGTTAGATCAGTTGAACTTTATTATTTCTGTTCCTGCTGGGGTTTGTTAAAGTTAGATTTAAAAATATTTACAACTTTTTTTGCGGGATTCAGAGCTTTATGGAAACTCTGCCAACTTGAAATTTTCCTTTTTATGTCACAATCTTGACTTGATATCCTTGAATGCTTTCAAAATGTTTATGTTCATACATATATTTGAAATTAAATGTCCTTATTTCTCATGCAGTGAATTAAAGGAAATTGCTCTGGATTCTGAAGATATGTCGGTCTTACGCGTGCATTTTGATGAGCCGTATGCAAAGTATTACAGGCGAGTGGTTGGAAACACCTGGTATGAGGCACTGTGTAAGTATGGAAATATGTATGTATATATATGTGCATTTAATACTCCCTTAGTAGATTATTGCATTTTTGTAGATTCATAAAGCAGGCACAGTAATTTGTTAATTGAATAGCCATTTATTGTAGGTGTTCTGAAAAATTTATAGCCGAACCACTTTTTGCCAAGTTTTAACGTATTATTTTTGTTGTTATTTAATTTTTATTCTTTTTTTATAAAAACATAGAGGCATATTCAGGATTTCGTACGAATCGAAAATTTGAAATTTTTGTACAGAAAATGATACGTACGTACGTACGAAAACCAGAATATACCCCATAGTTCATTCTTTGACAAAACCCGTGTAAGTTTCCAAGTTTCCAAATTTGCGCAATATTAAAAAAAAAATTCAACAAACATTCGTACAAATAAAAAACCAATCTTAATTTTTAGCCATTTAAAACTTGTACATTATTCTACTAGAATTCAATGGGCTACAAAACTGTGTACTCAGAATCTTATTAAAAGATTCGAAATTTCAACAAAAACTTGTTGATTTTTTGTTTTTAAATTGCATACATTTTTAAGGCAGTGTCACTCGATTGATTCATTTGTACAGATTTGTACATTCTTAAATTGGGCTATTGGTAAAAAATGGCACAATTTTTTTAGTCAAAATATTGATACAATACAGAAATGTTTGTTCTATTGAAAAATTTCAACAAATTAATTTTCGTGGTTGGGACAAAGAAAAATATTTGGGTGCTCAAACAATTGGGACACAATTTTTACCAAATTTTGGCACATACCCAATCGTGTGATTAAGCGCATTTTAAAATTTTCAGGCAATAGCCTCATGCGATTATCGGATATATTTTTTGTTGTTTGTGTGAAATATTTTATTTTTATCAGTATTTTTCTATTAATCAAAATATGTTGA